GTGAGAGCCAGCCCCAGATGTCAGGAGCAGCTGCTACCGACAGTGGTGACAGCAGTGGGGGTGACACCAGCACGCAGGGCAGCCCCACTGCTGGGCTGCTGTGGCAAGGCTCCACCCAAGGCCAGACGCCCAGCCCCACAGCTTGCCCACCCATCCAGGCCTGCCAGGCACGTAGCCGACCCCTCAGGTCCAGCCAAGCTGGTAGGACTCTCCCTTCCACTTTTCTATGATGCACAGACAGTACAACCTGCCAACAAATTAGGTGAGGGAAGGGTTAGGTGCAGAATTACATGGTGAGGTTACTGGGCTGGGGCCGGCTGGGCCTCTGTGTCTGTTTCATGTCGTAATTACACATGACCTGCTGCAGTGGCTGAATGTCAAATTACCAGTGTTGGCTCGGGCTGCCTCATTGACCACAATTGTGATAATTATGTCTCTCTGGGAAGGTCAGCAAAAGTGGCCTCACAGGGCGAAGCTGGGTGACAGGGTGGCTCTGGAGGGCTGTGGGGTGGGTGTTCTTCTCAGAACACCAAGGGGCCACGATTGTCAGCCTTCTCAAGATGTTTTCAAACGTGAAGAGAAGATTCCTGGGCACGTGTGTGGGAAGTTCAATGTCCACTGGGCGTGTCCAGTTTCTGGGGAAGGATGGTGATTCTCCAGTGATGGTTTCAGGTGGTGGCCACTTGGTAGAACACCGCTAGCTGGCGGTGCTCATGGGGAAACCTCAGTCTGAGCCAGCGTTCAGTTTGCTGTTCGTGAGCTTTGGGAACCCCAGCTGTGGAGAGACCCTCAGCTATCAGCTACCACCCAGGGATGAGCGCTGTGCCCTGGTGTCAGGAACCTCCATCACCCGAGAACCGCCCCTCTGCCGGTGGCTGAGACTCAAACAGCCACAGTCCTCGCAGCCCTGGGAGCCAGACAGGTGCTAAGCCCTGTCCCTCCACCACCCATAAGGGCCACATGCACCCAGTGTTCAGAAAGGCTCAGAAGTTTCTGGTCCCACTAAGCGGCCTTTCCCAGGGACAGGTCCCAGGAAATGTGGGCGTCTGGAGTTTAGGCTGTCAGACTCCTGGGTCAGGCACACACAGCCGAGCCTTGGGTGTCATCCTGGCCCGGCTTCTTTGGGTCTCGGACCTGGTTAAGCTAAGAGGATGCTCAGGGCAGCAAGGGGTGCTCATCACACCTGTGCTCAGGAGACGTTCGGCGAGGACTGAAGCGGAAACCAACCCTTTGTGTGGGCCACGGACCCTGAACTCTAGGGTGGAAGGTGGACCACGAGGACCGGTCCAAGCCTCAACAAGGAGGTGACCCCAGACCCCAGCCTTTCAGTTACTCTCTCTTTTTTTTTTTTTTTTTTTATAAAGAGAGTGAGAGGGGGGGGAGAGAGAGAGAGAGAGAGAGAGAGAGAGAGAGAGAGAGAGAGAGAGAGAGAGAGAGAGAGAGAGAGAATTTTTAATATTTATTTTTTAGTTCTCGGCGGACACAACATCTTTGTTGGTATGTGGTGCTGAGGATCGAACCCGGGCCGCACGCATGTCAGGCGAGCGCGCCACCGCCTGAGCCACATCCCCAGCCCTTCAGTTACTCTCATCTGGGGTGGGGAAGGGTACTCTCTCCCCCTTCTCCCTGATGCAGGGATAGGCAAGTGTGATTCTAGTGGGTTCTGGAACTCTCCAGTTCTGCAGCTCAGCCTCAGTGGAGGTGTGTGGATGCAGAGGGAGCTTCTGCGCCCTCACCGACCCGTAAGGAGTATGTGAAGCTGCCCCTTCCCCTGTGGGGTGGGAGGGTGCTACTACAGGCTCTTATTGTACTTAGCCCTGAGGTGCTTCTGGGAAGTGGTACCTTCCCAGCATCCTGGAGTGACATGCCATTCTCCACCGAGTCTCCTCGAGAGATGGCCCTGGAAAGCTCAGAGGCTGGCCAGGGCCCTTAGGACCCAGGGGTGAAAGGGGATGGTGGCTGGTGAGCAGCCACTCCATCTTCCTGCCCCCAGGAGCCTGACATCACTGACCACCAGGAGTCCCAACTCCAGGGATGTTTTATTTGTAGGTGATTTGATGGGCCAGGGCAGAGGTCAGCAAAGGAGTCCAGGAAGCCCATGGGGTTCTGGGGTACAAGACTCCCCAGAGCCAACAGGGCACAGGCTCCTGTAACAGCTTGGGACCAGTTCTGCTGCGACGGCACCCACCCAGGGTCAGAAAGATGGGAATCTGGAAATTCCTGCTTTAGAGATCCTTCAGGAGGGAGCCGAGTCCTGGGGGGCAGTCCCTCTCCCAATATCCTATGGGATTCTCCCAAGAATCACACAGGCAGTCATTCATTCTTACCCTCATTTTCTGCTTGTTTTTGAATTAGTAGACTTTATTCTTTAGATTTACAGAAAAATTGAGCAGATTGTAGAGAGAATTCCCCCCTTCCCCCCACCAAGATTTCCTTCCTGCATTAGAGTGTGCCAATGTTAGCATCAACGAACCAATACGGATATTTATTAACTAAACACCACGGTCTACATTCACGGGCTTTGACAAATTAACTTGGCCATGCTGTAATTCCAGGGTCAGGGCAGCCCAGTGGGCACAGGTGGCTGGGCAGCCCTTCAGGTGGCAGGGCTCTGCCTTGGGACGAAACCAGCATCAGCCCTGGTCGCCTTGGGCAGGTCACTGAAAGCTGCCAGCTCTCAGTGTCTTCCTTGGATGCTGCCTGTCCCTCCCACAATATGATGGGGGGCTCTGACAAGCCTTATGGCCCTTACAGGATGTACAGGGCCTGCTGGGCTGTGTGCAGATGGCTTATTCAGCCCTGTATGGCCCCGGGTAAGAAGTGCTGAGGTGTGGGAAGTGGCTTGCTTCAGACATGCCAGTGGGCCAGTGCTTTTGTACCTGGATACCTGCAGCAGTGCATTCCAAGGGATGTGGGGCTGGTGGAGCAGGCCTCTAAGCTCTGAGGTGCACATGTGTGACAGAGCCTCAAACCTGGCCAGCAAAGGAGTCCAGGAAGCCCATGGGTTCTGGGGCACAAGACTCCTGGCCAGGAGTCTCGGGTGATATCAGTTCAGGTGCTGGGCAGTGCTGTCTCCAGGCTGCGTAGGCCTGCTCTGTTCCAGGGTCCTAAAAAGATCTGGCCATGCTGCAATCCCAGTGTCAGGGCAGCCTGGTGAGCACAGGTGGCTCCTTAGGCCCCTGGCCCTTCCCCAGCACTGAGCTGCTTCTGATACACACTTGGAGCCAGGTATTTCTCAGTCCAGCAGACTCATAATTCCACCCTTTCCCACCCCTCTGTATAGTCGCCATCCAATGAACTGGACTCCCAGATTCTCATCTGGCTCTCAACCTAGGAATATTTTGGAGGGGTGGGTAATGTCTGGAGACAGTTTGGATGACCCAACGGGGGCAGAAAGAAGGAGTGCTACTGACATCTAGAGTAGGGGCCAGTTTGTTAAAATCCTGCAATGTACAGGATGGTCTCCTTTGTAAAGACAAACCTCGCCTTCCAGGTTGATGAAGCAGTACCAGAGGTGGGCAGTGTTGGGTGTGGGCAGCAGCGCACAGCGCCAGGCGCAAGCAGAGGCTCCAGGTCCTCAGGGAGCCTTAGAAAGACTTCCTGGGGACTGGACGCTTCAGAGTCCAGCACGCTGTACAGTGGAGTCAGGCCTGAAGCCGAGTGGGCTGTAGGCCGTGACAGACTCGGAACCTCCGCCAAGCACAAATTCTGCGGAGGGTGAGGTGCCAAGAACTTCCCAGAGAGCCACCGGCTGGTGAGGAGCGAGGATGGGCCACAGCGCTTCCACCGTGGGGGCTTAGGGGAGAGCGGTCGATCTCGGGTTCTCCCGGAACCCGCCTGGTGCAGGCGCAGACGCCCGCTGCGCCGTCCCATCCGGCAGGGCCTCGGCTCTTCTCCAAGACCTTCTCTACGTCCCTCGCTCATCCCACCACCGTCTGTGAGAACCAAGATAACTGCGCACTCACACGTCCGCAGCGTCCAGTCCGGCGCGCGGGACGCTGAGCTCCGAGCGCGCGCTCGGGGCGAGGTTCCGGCGCAGGCGGGGG